AGTATGGATGGGAGGGTTTGGAGGGGAGGGTTAGAGAGAGAGAGAGAAGTGGGGATTTTAGGAGGGGGGATTGTTTATTATGATATAGGGAAGGGTTTTAAAATTCAAAAGAAGAGTGGGAAAAGAAAAAAAAATTTAACATTTCAGCGAACGTCGCCGCGATCGACGCTGCGAGACAGAGTCTCCCGCGGTCGACAACGCGGCCACAGTGAAAAAATTGACGTCCAGGGATTTCCGCGGTCCTCACCGCGGNCAAATTTTTTTTTTTTTATTATTTTTTTACTACACTTACAACACATTCGTGGTTGCCTCCCACGTAGCGCCTGATTTAACGTCGCGGCACAACGCAAGTAGTTGAGCCATCACTCCTCCTTCGCGTACTGGGGTTCTTTCAAATTGATCACCATTGTATCCCCTTTTTCTTCAGCTATTCCAAGGTAATGTTTTAACCTTTGCCCATTTACTAAGAACTTGTTCGTCCCATCTTCTGACTCGATCTCAACAGCTCCACTTGCAAACATTTGCACCACTCTAAATGGCCCTGACCATCGGGACTTTAACTTACCCGGAAACAATCTCAACCTTGAATTATACAATAATACCTTGTCACCGGGGTTGAAATTTCTGTCCACAATGTGCTTGTCATGCATCTTCTTCATTCTTTCCTTGTAGAGCCTCATGCTTTCAAAGGCTTGATATCTAAATTCTTCCAGCTCATGCAACTCTGTCAGTCGATTTTGTCCAGCTGCTTTGGGATCCATGTTCAATTGTTTCAATGCCCACCAAGCTCGATGTTCTACTCCACAGGCAGGTGACAGGCCTTCCCAAGTACCAACTTGTATAGTGACATACCTATTGGTGTTTTGAACGCAGTTCTATAGGCCCAGAGTGCGTCATCAAGCTTCTTTGCCCAATCAGTTCGTGTGGCATTCACCGTCTTGGTTAGTACATTTTTTATCTCCCTGTTGGACACTTCAACCTGCCCACTGGTTTGCGGATGGTAAGGGGTAGCCACCTTGTGGCGTACATCATACTTTGCAAGCAATTTCTCGAAGGCTCTATTACAGAAGTGAGTGCATCCATCACTGATGATCGCTCTTGGTATCCCAAATCGGGTGAATATATTATTTTTCACAAAATCTATCACCACTCTTGCATCATTAGTGGGCAACACTGCAGCTTCCACCCATTTAGACACGTAATCTACAATAACAAGTATGTATTTATTGCCAAATGAGCTGACGAAGGGGCCCATGAAGTCAATCCCCAAAACATCAAACACATCTACCTCTTGAATCAGGTTCATGGGCATCTCGTGGCGACGGGAAATGTTCCCGGTTCGCTGACATTCGTCACAGCCCTTCACCCATAGGTGTGCATCTCTAAACACTGTTGGCCAAAAGAACCGGACTCTAGCACTTTCGCAGCTGTTCTGGCTCCTCCAAAATGTCCTTCATATGCTAATGCGTGACAAGCTTACAAAATAGAAGATTGTTCTATCTCGGGGACACACCTCCGGATCATATTATCAACACAGATTCTAAACAAATAAGGCTCGTCCCAATAATACATGCGGCAATAACGATAAAACTTTTTCTTTTGGACAGATGAAAGGTCATAGGGAACAATACCGCAGGCCAGGTAGTTTGCAAAATTTGCATACCATGGCGCTTCCTCAAGACTGGCTGCGAGTAGCAGCTCATATGGAAAGGTTTCCAGGATCTCTTCGACCTCGACTGATTTTTCAGCTCCTTCAAGTCGCGATAGATGATCAGCGACTTGATTTTCTGTGCCCTTACGGTCACAAATTTCGAGGTCGAATTCTTGCAACAGTAGCACCCAACAAATCAAGCGCGGCTTAGACTCCTTTTTCTCAATTAGGTACTTGAGTGTTGCATGGTTAGTGTATACAATTACCTTGGAACCAATCAGATATGATCGGAACTTGTCAAACGCAAACACCACCGCCAACGCCAACATCTCCTTCTCCGTCACTGTGTAATTAAGTTGTGCACCGCTTAGCGTTCTCTTTGCGTAGTAAATTGGGTGCATCAACTTATCTTTTCGCTGCCCCAAGACTGCTCCTATAGCATAGTCGCTGGCATCACACATGAGCTCAAATGATTGCTCCCAGTTGGGTGCAACAATGATGGGTGCAGTGATCAATCTCTTCTTCAGTTCCTCAAATGCCAACCTGCAATCATTAGAAAACACAAAGGGTTGATCCTTTTCAAGGAGTTTGCATAATGGGTTAGCAATTTTGGAAAAATCTTTATGAAACGCCGGTAGAATCCAGCATGTCCAAGAAAACTTCTCACCGCCTTGACTGAAGTGGGCGTTGGTAACTTCTCAACCTTAGCATGGTCGACCTCAATTCCTTTACTGGACAATCGATGCCCCAGGACTATACCTTCTTGTACCATAAAATGGTACTTCTCCCAGTTTAGCACTAAGTTTGTCTTCACACATCGTTTAAGCACTCTCCTTAAGTTGTGAAGATAGTCTTTGAATGAATCTCCCACCACGGAGAAATCATCCATAAAGACCTCCATAATATCCTCCACCATGTCTGTGAAGATGGCTAACATCCATCGTCGAAAAGTGGCGGGTGCATTGCAAAGCCCAAAAGGCATTCTCCGAAAGGCAAAGATGCCATACAGACATGTGAAAGACATTTTCTCTCTATCTTCGGGGGCTATTAATATCTGATTGTACCCCAAATATCCATCCAAGAAACAGAAGTGCGATCGCCCAGCCAGCCTGTCCAACATTTGGTCAATGAAAGGTAGGGGGAAATGGTCCTTTTGGGTGGATGTGTTCAATTTCCTGTAATCTATGCAGATACGCCACTCTGTGACTGTACGAGTTAAGATCTACTCATTGTTCTCATTTTTTACAACAGTCATCCCCCCTTTTTCGGTACACATTGGACAGAGCTGACCCAATTACTATCAGAGATGGGGAAGATGATTCCCGCATCTAACCATTTGATTACTTCTTTCTTTACAACCTCTTTCATGTTAGGGTTCAGCCTTCGCTGGTGTTCCCTGGAAGGTCTGTGCCCCTCTTCCAGGAGAATCTTCTGCATACAGAAAGCTGGGCTGATACCCTTTATGTCTGCCATGGTCCAGCCAATGACAGTCTTGTTTTCCTACAGTACCCGTACGAGCCGTTCTACCTGCACATCTAACAAACCGGATGATATGATAATAGGCAAGGTCGAATCAGGGCCTAAGAACACATACCTGAGGTGATCTAGGAGTGGCTTTAGTTCCAACTTGGGTGGTTCCTCTATTGATGGCTTTGCTGGAGGAGTGGCCCTTTTTTCTAGATCAAGGGACTCGAACTAAGGTTCCCTTGACCAAAATCCTCGGCCTTCCAGTGCCATGACCCATTCAGCTAACCCTTCACCATCCATTTCTTCTAAATTTGTCAGACATGCCTCCAATGGATCTTTTACAGTTAGGGTCATATCATCTTCTTGTAGGATTACATCCACTGCTTCAACTAGAGAGCAATTAGCATATTCACTGGGTCTCCTCATAGATTGCTGAACATTGAATATGACTTCTTCATCGTTCAATCTCATTTTTAATTCCCCAGTTTCACAGTCGATCAGTGCTCTCCCCGTGGCTAAAAATGGTCTCCCTAAAATAAGGGGTATCTCTTCATCCACCTGACAATCCAAGATAACAAAGTCTGCAGGGAACACGAACTTTCCCACTTGTACCAACACATCATCAAGAATACCAGTGGGCCTCTTCACTGTGCGGTCAGCCAGCTGTAGCAGCATCGAAGTTGGCCTAGCTCTACCAATGCCCAATTTGGTGTACACAGCCAGCGACATCAGATTTATGCTGGCTCCCAATTCACACAACGTCTTTGCAAAGGCATAACTTCCAATTGTTCATGGAATAGTGAAGCTACCTGGGTCCAACATCTTTTGAGCTATCGGTTTTGCCACCACTGCGCTGCAGGTTTGTGTCAAAGTTACAGTGGATAGATCCTGAAAATCAAACTTCCATGATATTAGATCTTTCATCATCTTAGCATAGCTGGGCATCTCCCTCAAGGCATCTATCAAAGGAATATTCAACTGAATTTGACGCAACATCTCCATGAACTTCTTATATTGGTTTGCCTTCTTTTGTTTGACCAGTCTCTGAGGGAAGGGTGCAGGTATCACCCTTTGTGCATTGCTTGTTGGCTTCTCTCTGTTAGAATATTCTGGCACAAAAGGTGACACCTGTTCTGCAACTTGCTCATTCATCTTATCTTTGCCTTTTTCCTCCTGACTCTGCTCAACCACCACTTCAGTAAGTTCTGTTTGCTCCTCTACCCCTAATTGAACTGGAGTGGTTGGTGTAGTGTCCTTGCTGGCTTGTGCAATTTCCTGCTCTCTGTCTAAATCTCTCCCATTCCGGAGACTTACTGCCATCAGCTGATTCGGGTTTTGGTCCTTGGGGTTTATGTTTGTGTCTGCAGGCAGAGTTCCCTGAGGACGGTTGTTCAAAGCCATGGACAGCTGACCCAGCTGCGTTTCAATATTCTTTTATGGCTGAATCATGCACTGCCAATTTTTCATGCACTTTATTATTTGTCCCAATGAGTTGCTGAAGCATACTTCTGATTTCCACCATGTTGTTATCTTGCTGCTGAGAGGGTGGTTGGTATGTCAATTGTTACTGATTTTGCTGTGGATAGCCTTGTGGTTTCTGATATGGTACTGGCACCAATTGGTTTTGAGGGTGCATACCCCCAGGCTGCTGCATATTAGGCATGTACTGCTGATTTTGATGCGGTCTCCACTACTGTGGTCCTTGCCTCTAACCCCTATAGTTGTTGACATAATTCATATCTTCCTTTGCCCCTTGATTTTTACCTTCTCCGCTCCATGAACACACATAAGACTTATTAATACAAGGTGTACACAGTCCCCCATTTGTTGTATCAACAATGTGCACCTGTTTTGTACACATCTCATCAATCTTCTTTGTCAATATGCTCATCTGGGTCATGAGTGAGGCCATGTTCTCTACATGTGAATTATTTGGTTCAAGAGGAACTGAATGCACTATGGGTGCCAGTGTTGTACCTCTAGTCATCCACCCCAAATTTTTTGACATCTTATCGAGAAGGATTTTGCACTCAGTGAACGTTTTACTTTAAAATGCACCTCCAGCTGACGCATCCACATTTGCTTTCAAATTGTCAGCTAGCCCCATGTAGAATCTCTGGCCGAGCATCTAGTCTGGAATGCCATGGTAAGGACACTTCACTAACATCCCTTTAAACCTTTCCCAAGTTTCTTGCAAGGACTCAGAAGGCTGCTGCCTATACTGTAATATGTCATCAATCTGTTTTGCAGTCTTGTTAGGCGGATAGAACTTGTTCAGGAACTGCTTGACTAATTCCTCCCAAGTGATGATAGAGTTGATAGGGAGCGAATTTAGCCAAGTCTGAGCTTCCCCGGTTACCGAGAATGGAAACAATAGCAGCTTGATATCTTCCGGAGTTGCATTTGGATGCCTTTGGGTCATACAGATTGACAGAAAATTCTTCAAGTATTGTTGCGGGTCTTCAATGTGTGACCCGGAGAACAGTCCTTTCTTCTGCAGCAGATGCAGCATGTTGTTGGTGATCTGGAATGTCTCCACTTGAATTGCGGGCACAACTATCGCAGTGGCCAGATTATCAGTTGTGGGTTGTGCCCAGTCATAAAGTGCAGCTTCGGGCACAAAAGGTGCCACCCTTTTGACATTTAAGTCAGCTGGCTCAATCCTGACGTTTCCGTTGATGTTATCTACGTCACCCATGTCAAATTCGAGTTGGTGTGATTGTTGAGATTGTTGAAGTCTTTTGTTGGCACGGTTCAATGCCCTGAATATTTTCTCGGGGTCTGAGAGTCCTTCTAGCAGTTCTCCAGTCCTCGAAGAACTTCTAGGCATACACTTGTTTCCCACAAAAGTTCAAACGTTAGAATTTCAATGAAAAGATTGGGTATAGAGAAAACTGACTACACTTAAATTTTTTGTATTTCTCTCAATTGTAATTGATAACACCGTTAATTCCCCGGCAACGACGCCAAAATTTGATAACGCCAAACTATGCCTTATACAAAGACACACACGGGCGTAGCAAATATAATCTGAGTAATTCTGCCCAGNTATCAATTACTTTTGACAGATTTACTAAATTCACAGAATCAATTTCCCCAAACTTTGTAATTCACAATTGATGATATCTCTAACAACTAAAGTCTGAAAATAATTAACAGCTGAAAATTAACTATGCTTGATGTGTAAACAGTTGGAATAAGGTCTAAGGTAATGGTTTCTCCCGTTGGTGATTTCCTTGGTTGTACGTTTCTTATAGCGATGCCTTAGTTGTCTCTATCAATCAAGAACTCTCCGGCTATCATAAATCTCTCTCAAGCAATTATGATAATTTACTAGACGCACTCTCTCAAGCTACGCTAGCTAGATTCACATTACCGTTCTTTTAGATTACACCCGAGGTATCGTTATCTCTAATCCAATCTCTAAACCCTCGGTTATGACTCTCGTCTATACTCCGGGAGTGATGTTGTTCAAACAACTACCTAAATATGCACTCTCTCTCAAGAAGATACATAATAAATAGGAACGGATAATTGAGGACCCTTTCAACTAACCACAATCAAAACGTAGATGAACAAATAGAGATTAACAATCAATTCAAACTATATTAATATAACAACCAAGTCATCCCCAATGGATTTCACCAAAACCTTATATTAAAGTATTTAGATACTCATGACAACGTAAGAATAAACTACGAAAATATTCATAATGGAAAAATTGCAAGAAAATTAGAAGAGAATAAGAACTATGATGTTTTGGGTGATCTCTCACACTTGTTCTTCTTGCCAAAATAATCTCAAAATCAGCTCTCCCTTCTTGGGCAAGTTTCCTACATCTTATAAGGGTTTTACCAAAGTTTTCCAGACTTGACACTTTGGCCCCTTAAATTTTGGGCTGTGAACATGCCGTCGCGGCCGCGGCGTCGACCGCGGCGCTGACCGCGGAGTACACTGCCTCCAACCGCGGTGCGTATGCTGGACCTTTTTATCTCCACGTTCCTTCTCTTTTTGCTCTTTTGTGTTTGGGTACTTCTTGAGTGGGTGTTTTCTTCACGTTATTGCCTTTAAACACTTCATGTTGCTTCCTCACATCTTATATTCCCTGCGAAACCAAATAGCATTAATTAAAGCATTTTATTGGCAACTTACATTATAAAACAACAACAAAGCATGGGCAATTATGGTGTAAATAACAACTATATAGCCTATTATCAAGGACTATATGGCTCTGCTGAATGCAGTGGAAAAGTGGAGACAATATTTACAATACAAACATTTTGTGGTGAGAACTGACCATCACAACTTGAAATACCTCCTAGAACAAAGGGTGTCTACTACTATACAGCAAAAAGGACTAACCAAATTGCTTGGATTGGACTATGAGGTGCAGTATAAGAAGGGGTCTGAAAATAAGGTTGCTGATGCCCTTTCTAGACAGCAAGAAGGTTCAACAGTTCAAAGGAACCAACTACAGGGTGCATTGCAGGCCATCAGTATTTTAGTCCCTGCATGGGTGCAAGAAATCACACATAGCTATGAAGGGGGCCCTAAACCTACAGAAATCATTAGCCAAATAGTTGTGACTCAACAAGGACCCAACATATGGCACTACACTGCCAGCATACTCAGGAAGAAAGGAAAAATTTATATTGGTACTAATGGTAGGCTCAGAAATCAGTTGATATCAACCTTTCATGACTCTCCTATGGGTGGACACTCAGGACAGCTTGGAACTCTAAAAAGACTATCACAAATATTTTATTGGCCAGGGATGAAACAGATGGTTATTGATCATGTGGCTAGTTGTGATGTATGTCTCAAAAGCAAAGATGACAACATGGCCTACCCTGGGTTGCTGCAGCCCCTACCAATCCGTAACCAGGCCTGGAGCCACATCAGTATGGACTTTATAGAAGGGTTGCCCAAGTCTAGGAACAAAGATGTTATCCTTATAGTTGTGGATAGATTAACAAAGTATGCACATTTAATAACACCTGCTCACCCTTACACAACATCATCTGTAGCTGAGGTGTTTTGGAAGAAGATACATTGCTTACATGGGATTCTAGAATCTATAGTGACAGACAAAGACAAGGTGTTCCTAAGCCACTTTTGGCAAGCCCTATTCAAACTCCTAGGGACTCAGCTTCATTACAGCACTACCTATCACCCTCAAAGTGATGGCCAAACTGAAAGGGTCAACAGGTGTCTAGAGAACTATCTCAGGTGTATGACTGCTAATAGGCCAACACAGTGGAGACAATGGTTAACTGTTGCAGAATGGTGGTACAACACCAATTTCCACACCAGCTTACAGTGCACCCCTTTTGAAGCACTATACAGATTCTCACCCCCACAACTGTCATTGGGCCCCTTATTGGAGATTGTGGTACCAGTTGCTGAAGACACAATGATGCATAGACAACAAATGCAGCAACTATTGAAGGACAACCTCACTAAAGCACAAGAAAGGATGAAACACTATGCTGATAAAAGGAGAACAGACAGGGAGTTTCAAGTTGGGAATTTCGTGTATTTGAAATTGCAACCCTATAGACAGACATCTCTAGCATTAAGAAGAAACTTGAAGTTGAGCTCTAAATACTATGACCCCTACAAGATCCTAGCAAGAATTGGCAAAGTGGCTTACAAACTGGATCTTCCGCCTGAATCTAAGGTCCACCCTGTGTTTCATGTGTCTTTACTCAAGAAGAATGTGGAAGATAGAGTAGTAGTGCAGATCACACTACCAATCACTGGCGAGGATGACAAGTTTCTAGTGCAACCAGTGGCAATCTTGCAGAGGCAGCTTATTAAGAGGGACAACTCTGCCGCGGTAAGGGTTCTGGTACAGTGGTCAAATCTCACTCCAGAAGATGCCACTTGGGAGGATTATCATTACATCAAGGCAAGGTTTCCAGATTTTGATTCCAACCCTTGAGGACAAGGATTGTTTGAAGAGGGTGAGTATGTCATGATCCAATACGAAGTGCAGCAGCTGGGATTCGAAATGAAGAAAACAATAACAGAAAATGGGAAGGGAATAACAAAAATTTGAATGAACGACTAGGATTAATTTAAGCTTTAATGAGCTCCAAGGGCCACGATTTGGCCATGTCAGCTGAAGGTTGTTATAACCAACTGCATGAGAGAGAGGGAGGCATCGTTCATCAGAGTAATTCTCTTTCTCTCTCTTCGATTCTCTCTTCTCTTTTCTCACTCTCTTATCCTTCTTCTTCCTAACATATCTCTTTCTTCTCTTCTTCTTTCTTCTTCTTCAGGTTACTGCAACCATGGAGTCTAGTTAGAAATAGTCAATTTCCATTCAGTTGTAATCGTTAGATTTCCTTTATCAATATAACAGAAAATTGTACAAAAAACATTCTATTTCCATTATTGTATTTTGATTCCTTAATTCAAATTGAGTTCATTACATTAACCAATATGCCACATTACAAGAATTTCATAATTTACTAGACTAATCAAATATCCAAATAGAACTGAACCAATACAAAGAGAAACATATCTCCTTATAATCTATGATAGGTCTTTGTGAATACATATCAAGTGGTAATGCGTGTCTTATAGACACAGGTGGCACATTAACTGATTTCTATGTAGAAATTCCAGGACAATCTATCTATTCGCGTCTTGAAGAATGTTTCCGTTGACCTTTCTAATTATGAGAATGCCCCAGTAGGAGAATTTTGGAGGATCTTACTGGTAAACTGATTCCCCACAGTTCAAAGATTTCTATTGATATGATAGAACGTGAGATGATGAGTCTTACTGCTAAGGTAAGATGTTCCTCATGGATTTAGGGTGTACTTGGTATAACAGAAATCCGACTTGCGGAAAACAATTTCCGAAAAACTATTTTCTTTCATGCCAAACATGCCCTTACAGCAAGTGTGGACGCATATTTTCACACCAACCATAATTTCACAGCATTTCCAGCGTCTGTTTCTGAAAGCAAGGAATTTCTCAACAATTTCTTGTTTACATAAAAACAAACAGAAGGCAAAGCAATGGCAGGAAAATACAGAGCGTGTACAAGGCAAGATTTCTATATCATCAAATGCTTAAAGCTGAAGAAAATGTGGC